TAGCCTTTCATGTCAGGACCCCCCCCCCCCCCCAATGCCACCCTTTCCCTCCTTGCTCCGTGCAACGCCCTCCATCTTCCCTTTCACGAATCCCGCTGTTGCGCGAGGTCTGCCTCGATAATGCAACGTCGGCACACACCAATCCGTTTTGGAATGGCCTGCGTTGATGGACAATGTCCTGCCTCCTGTGAAGGTTGCAGTCGCGCACAACAATGAGTACCAACCTTCCTCCCCCCGCACCCTGCTTCGCGTTCATGTGTTAATACTCTCCTCTGCCGCTTCATGAAAGGTTGACTCGGAGGGAGCGATGACGGCGCTCATCATCCTCTTTTGCGCGGTGCTGGTGTTCGTGATCAGCTTGATTCTGAGCAGATGGAACATGAACACGAAGCTGGCCTACAGCCTTCTCTTCACCTACGTTTCTTACGTGGTGTACACCATCACTGCGGAGGCGCTCAAGTAGTCATCGCAAGCGCGGATCCTCTACCTCTAGTTTGATTCAAATATGAGATTTAATGGTTGCCGATCTTGATTCTGTAAGCTATTGACCGGTTTCAGGTTTTGGGGGGGCACAACAACATCGCGCCATTCACCTGTTCATCAGGTTTTTCTGTGATTCTTGTTGCTCGGGCGTGGGTCCAGCGATTCGATTCGCTGGTTGTCTTACAGCTCGGTCGCCTAGTGTGTTTGTTTCTGGTACGAATTAAGTCTAGACTAAGGTGTAGATTCCAATATTCGTTTTGTCCACACAGGCAGAGGCACCAAGCAAGGTTCTGTTGCCGGTTTTCGAAAGTATCAAGTGAGGTTCAGGGCGGGGGGTTGCGAGTCAGAAGATGGGCAGGCATAGATTCAAACGCATTTAGAACGAATGCCACAAAGATCGGGGAGGGGGCGGGTGAAAGTGCGGCGGACAGGCGGTCAAGAGAGGCAGGCATTAACACGCACCAAACGGCAGGGAATTAAGGTTTTATGGAGGCAAGCATGTTCCGAACTTGGTCCCCCCTCCCATGTGTGAGAGTTATCCAAATCGCGTCCAACCAGGTGGAGAGACCGTTCGTTTCCGTTCCGTTTGGCTTTGTTGGAAGAGTAGAAAATTGCAACAGTGTTACGAGCCCATCGGAGACTTCTGTTTGGCTATGCAGGTCGACCACCTAGATCCTTATCGTCTGAGACACAATAAAAGAGAAACTATCGACAGCTCCATCCGTGGGACGGATCCCTTCTTTGTTTATTCGAGGTTGGCCAGCACGCCTCATCCAACAGAATCTCTTCGAGGATGGAAAAGTCGAGGTTAACTCTAGCATTACACCGAAAAAAATAGTGCCATCAACTCTTCGCACCAACTCTCGCTCGTTTCGGTGCGAAATGTTCAGCAGAGTGGGTGGCTCTTCCTTGTAAACCGGTCGTGGTGTCTAGCGCCTATCCGCAAAGCAACCATGGCGTCTACGTTGGCATTGTTTCTCTTTGACATTATCTTCCCTTTCCAGGGAACCAGTTGTTTACACACTTTCCCACTTCCTAGACTATACCACAAACAACCGACACACCGACAGATTTTCTAAAACTCTTGCCACCATATTACAATTTGTCGGACGGCTTTTCCGGAGTAGGTGCAAGTTTCGCTTAGCGTATTTCACAAGAAGAACGTGTCAAACAACCGTTGCGTGGACTACCTGGATATCCCTCCTCTCGTAGGCCAAAAAAATTCCATTGATTTGTAGGCACCATATCCGGATCACCCGGATCATGCTACTAATTTTCCTGCACTACCTTTTCTCGGGAGACTTGCGGACCTTCTTTGCCTTCACTGGCCTGCGTTTGTGACACATGAACACGTATGCTTAAGCGCGGGCTACGTACACGCCATCACGCTTGCGCGAAACGTTTTTTGAACGGATTCTCCTTCTTTTGTAACAACGATGGACCGAGCTTTTTCAATAGCAAACGGCCGATTCCGTGGTTGCGGCAACCCGGCAATCTCCCGGCTGCTGCATGGCAATGCCGTAAAGTTGCAATAGCCGCGGCCGGAGAAATATCAATACCCAGGCCTAACGAATGTCACAGGAGAAAACCGTCACCCTGAGCCTTTCTTAAGACCGGAAGGACGCTATCGTCATCGCATAGCCACAGGGTCCTCTCCACCCGCATCGTCCCATGGCCTCTTTCCATTTCACCATCGCCGGGTTTGCCAGTACCACCAGTGGTATCGTGTTTCACGACGGTGTCGCCGCGTGTTCTGATGCTATTCCTACCGGTCCAGCTGTTTTTGTAGCTGTTGGCGGCAGTGGCCTCGCCGTTGAGAGGTAGGCCGCTGCCGCTATCGGCGTCGACGACGGCATCATCCTTGGTCTCCTGCTCCCTCTCCTTATTGGTGATGCAGGCTTTCATGTCTTTTCGCCGCACCTTTCTCATTTGAAGCTTCTGTTTATTCTTCTGCGGCGTATACCTGACAAGGGTGGCGTGAGCGGGCGCCGACGGAAGTATGAGGTTGCTTGTATTTCTTTTCTACTCTAGACTGCAAATGTAGGTGTTGCAGTGGGCTGTAAAGTCTTGGGACGAACAACGAATTGGGGTCGGGGACGGAAGGCGTAAGGAACGCGTAGGTCCGCACGGGATATATATGGATGGTGAGTTCGTTACCACCACCGCCACCACCGCCAAGACCACCATTGACTACTAGGCCAAAAAAACGTCGAGAACCTTGCCTACAAACTGCAAACGCGGACAGCAACGAAACAAGATCGCACCATGGCGAAAAACTATAGCAGCCAAGCAATTGATCCCGCGCTCCCACTGCCAGCCACCTGCTCGAGCTCTCGAGCTCGTTCGGACCGACGTCGCCAAGATCTTGATCACTGGTGTGTATGGATCATCTTGTGTCGCATACGCTAGTTGACCGATTGAAAACCCCCGGGCACCGGACATCGTTATCTCTCTCTTTCCCTTGAATGCCCTCACCTCCAGCTGTCGGCCGTCTCCTCCACCCGATAGTTGCACTGCTCGCTGCACCGGTCGCCCCCGTCCGTCCGCACCCCTCGGGCCTCGAGAAGCTCCAGCGTCGCGCGTCCGATCGCGTTGGCGCTTCTGCCGCGCATGAGGGCGTCCGCCACGTGCGCGTGGAGGCACTTTGCGTCGCGCACCTGGTTGTGGCCGAGCGCGGCCGATGAACAACGCCACGGCAATGACCAAAAAACCCGTCAGTTCCTCAGGCCTAAACCAGCAGCCTGTAACGCCGCCGCATGACCAAAAGCACACCTTGTGATTGTGGGACGAAAAAGAAAACTCCTGCAACACGCGCATTGGGGCGCTTGACATCGTGCACGCGAATTTTCAAAGCCCAACTCTATTTACACCCTGTTCGGCGCGGACCTTTCGCTGCCCGGGTAAGCCTTGCCACTGCTGCCCTCCGGTCCGTGCGGGCCGTTTCCTACAATCGCTGGCTTTACTAGCTGGAACAAGAGTGGTTTGGTCTCTACCAGATGACAGGCCAGAATTCAGCTTGGACTTTCGCAGGGAGGTCGCCTGCTGAATCCTGGCAAGCTCGTGTTCACCTTCCCGGTGGTGACGCCTGTAATGCCGCTGTCGAGAAAGCGTTCAGCCCCCTCCTTCCCGATAGTCTCCTCTACCATGCCCAGCTTTTCCGGAGTCACCAAACGTCTCCGCAGCATGCCGTGCGCCAAGTTCACGGCCATGAAGTCCTGCAAAGCAGTACCCAGCAGAGCCGGGTCATCAAAACAATCACGCACGACACGTACGCACGCACGCGAACCGCATGAAACGAAAAAAATCAAGTCCGTGGAAAGTGGTACGAAATTCTTGTGTAGTAGAGGTACGCAACCACGTACAGTTAGAACGACCCAGGACATCTGTCAACGTTGGATTTCCGAGCTGTCTTCATCAGCAATGCCATAGAACGTTGAGCACGAGAGCCGACTTATGTAGAAATCGAAGCTAGATTGTCCGTAGACCCCAGAACTAGAGGGAGCGGGGGGCTGTACACAAGATTCTCCAGTGCGGGCTGCCTCCAGCGCAATCTAGGACGACTCGTCCAGAAAATATAACCAGAGGTAGATGACATCCACAAACAGGGCTTCACACACGCCCGTTGTCTAGATGCTCCCTGCAGGCTCTCTTTTCGGTGAGGCTAGTACCCCCCGTCGGGCACTGCAACCACTCTCGCACCCGCACTCAACAAGTACGATCATGTATGGAAGCACACAAAAATCAGCAAAGGGCTAACACTTCATGAACTGCTGTATAATAGTTTCTCGCTGAATTGCCGTGCCCGCAGAGTCACCGTGCCACCTTGCTCTTGACAGCCGACATTCCCGAGCGTATCGACACCGTCCAAAAGTGCTTCGGGCCACGTGGGACAGGGCAGAACTAGGCGGGGCCATCACGCACCTCGCGGAGCCCCTCTTCGCTGGCCAGCCTTGCATTGACGTCCTCTATCCCCCCCTCGTCCTCCAGCAGATCGATGGCCTGCACCAGTAGAGGGCACGACAGCCGGAAGAGCCCCGAGGACACCTAGAAACAACGGTCGAGGACGCATCAGCACGGTGCAAGCATGGTCGGGTCGATTTCGAACTAAGGGAGACGGGTGGTGAGGGAGAGGTACTCAAAGTCGCGCATGCCGGAGTTGTTGGGCCATTGACCTCGCATCCCTACAAATTTACCAGGCTCTCACATCACCAAGAGCGAAGCGCCGTGAGGCATTCGGCGAGTCGCATGGACGGTGCGCTGCACCGTGCCGAGGGTGTTCGTCATCTTCTGCCTACTTCCTTGCAAACGGATGACAGCTGCAAATGACTTAATTTATTTTCTTGTGCTTTCATTTCAAGAGACAGCTAGAAGCACTGTGTGAGGTGCTTGACCAATTTTAACACAACGTGGTGCGATCATGCCCTTTGCGCGGAGTGAGGGTTCTCGACCCCACACAACATTTTCATCTACCCGACCACCATCGAGAAATGGGGGAGAGGGGGGTAGGGACGAGAACCGCACCCTTTGCCTGTGGGATACCCGGCATCACAGCGTCTACTCGCTTTGGCTCCTCTTATTTGCCGTGAGCGCTTGTCAGGGCGCCGCGGGCGGGCGCGCGCGCGCGCGCCCGCCCGCTCGTTTTCTGTCCTTGACAGACGCCAGCTTCCATACTGTATATCACCATGTATCAACTCAATCCACGATGTGATCCTGTTGTGCTTGGCGAACTAAGTTGACATACACCACAAAAAGGCATCAAGTCACAAACCCATGAACCAGCTTCGTAGACGACGACGCGAGTTCCGCTTCCAAAGCGCACCTTGTGTCCGCAGGGGTCGAAAGCAAACGCCTGCGGAAAGCCGTGTCGGCAGGGGTTAGGGGAAACGCCCATAGACCTAGACGACGCCCCCGCCTTGTGCCGCAGCTGTCTCTCCTCGATGCAGCGCAGGTCTCCCTCGGTTGCGGGCGTGGGGACGTAGGCCTCAACGAGAGCGGTAGCCCTGTCTCTGGCGGTCTGGGTCAGCTCATCCGTCCTGCGGGCGCGTGTGCAAGGGGGGTGCAGAACTTCACGGGGGAAAGAAGGGGTGGTGCTGCTGCGAAACAACGATGGTGGTGAGGGTCCCAACAAACAAACGATGTGCTCCTGCAAAAACCGTAGTAGCGAGGATTCCAACAAACAATGCGCTTCTGCGATAAAAAGGAAGAAGTAGCAGTGAGGATCCCAGAAAACGATCACCAGGCATGGCATTTGTGCGAGGCGCGTTGCCGTGGATGCCACGTTGAGGCTCCCTTCGGGCAGAGCTGGACGGCAGCTTTTTGTCCACAACGACAGGGGAAATTGGGTATGCATGCACTCGACAAGAAAAAAAATACATGTGCCTAAGTTCCACATCGGAAAATGCACAAGGGACACACACGAGCAATCACACGCGCAGCCGTCTCAATAGTTATCCACGGGATACTTACGAACCACAACTACTCCGTCAGAACGTTGCTTGCATTCAGGTCTTGTACATACTGGTAGGTTGTGATCGCCAGCGGACCTCGAACACTGCTGTACGGTACATATCTCCTGTAGATGGAGTGCGACATCTTGGTAGATGCGTGGGCATACCCCTGAACCCACCCGACGGGCCTGGAGTTTTGCCTCTTGCTGCCAAGGGTCGAGAAGCAGCGGGTGATATCCCCGTCGTCGCTATTTCTACCCCGCTTGCTCCTCCTTCCCCGCCACCCGCCTCGGCTGAACGCACCACCAACAGACAAGTATCCCGCCGCATGCACCGCCTCCTCGCCCGTTCGGCCCATGCTGCTGCTGCTGCTGCTGCCGATGAGCGTCGATACCCTCGTCGGGATCACGGTGTGGGTCCAGGCGGTCACCCCCCGAAAGGAACGTATTCGGACCTGCGTTCGGTAAGGTACCAGCTATCAACAGTGATCGCGTCGGCCATCATGACGCTACACGTAATTTTGTGTACATGCAGATTAATTAGGGAGACTCGGGTCACACTGTACTTTGCTTGGCAATGGGATGAAAGCGAATAGTCGACCTCGTGTGTGTTGTAATATGCATCCTGAGGTAGAGTATGTACAAAGGGGGCCAGCCGATCTGAAGATGAGGCACGACAGCAGTTGCTCGCGTATCGTGCACGCTGACTGATATCTTGCTTAGAATACACCACAAGGTCATAAGATCAGCGTTTGAACTGCAAAACTATAATAGACAAAAATGGTCACCAGACGTTTGGACCAACTCAGCGCCAACAAACAGGCACGGAGAGCACAGGACAATTGAAAAACGCAACAGGAGTTTCGCCGTTGTCTTTATAACCATGTATCGCCCCACAGGTGTATACACGTAAACGAGGAGCAGCCTACAGTCTATGCTCCAGGCAGCATACGCGACAAGTAACAGCAGTAGCTCCTACAAACTTGAGCAAGGCACCCTGCAACCAAGAGCGGGGCCTGGCACACAGAAAGCGATGCACTCACCGGCGACGCCACCATGGCCACCAGCAGGGCCACCCTGCATATCCGGACCATGTGTCGTGGTGAAAGCTTCTACGACAAGCAGTCGACCGAGCAAGAGTGCACAGCGACTGAGCGCGGCGCTGTGGTACACGTTACACGTTGCACATGAGAGGCACAGCGGACTGAAGAAAGAGCAGCAGGAAGAGGGCTGGGGGGCGCAGGAGGGGGGAGGCGAATGATGCGAAGCCCCGCGGAACCCATCAACACCGTACACCACAGACCAGGCACCGCGGCAACTCAACCGCGCACCGGAGAAGTGAAATAAAGGCTACCTGCTGCTACATCTATTTGCTCGTGGTGTGCGTTCCCCATTGTACAAGGTTTTAGTTGTCCCTCGAGGCATAGACAGACGCATAATTACTGCATAGGAGACGCACATAGACTACATACCTCCAAGAAAATGTTGAACCACCCAGGCATGTACAACATATCGTACGCAGTGCTGTGCGAGCATCAAGGTGTGTCAAGAGTGTAGACCAGTAGAGTTGTACGAACATCCCGTGGAAGTGATTTTTTGTACAATGTTGTTCGGAGGGAGAATCTGAACCGAAGGTGTAAATGCGATGGTTTTCGCGCAAGAAAATGCTGGATGTGCTGCAAATTTGCTGTTGTATACGTAGTCTAGTCTCGTCTGCCTGACTGACCAATGGATACGGCATTCGCGCGAGTTCATGGGTACACGAGCCCACGCCAATGAGAGTAGTCACACGGAAACACAAAGCACAATTATGGCCCAATGTATCGTACCTACCTATGATCTACACGCGGGACTTTTGAACCATTGTGACGATTACGGCTTCCCACCAATTAGTCCACGATACAAGCCTCCGGAAATGTGGCAACAAAAACTGAACAGCAAACAGCAGTTGCTGAGCAAGGAAATCATTTCGGGTCGATGTTTCATGCTTACTACGTCGCCACCAAGAACAGGATCTACGAAATGGAGTTGCAAGTTGCAAGCAAGTTCCGTTCCTCGTGGGGTTGGTTGTGTTTTAACCTCTCCGCGACTAACAACAACGTGGTCGAACAGACTGAGTTGTATGTATTCATCCATAGAACAACAAACGGCAGCACAAACACGTAGTAACCTACAACAGCAGTCGGCGCACATGGTGATACTGTACCAACAAGAGTGCCGACCCACCAAAAAGAGCAACAAACACACGAAAGGCTAAAATGAAGAACATTAATCTACACTACCCGAACAACTCCCACCCCACCCCCCCTTGCCGTGCCGGGTATCAACCCCATCCTACCGGCTCATTGGCGCCCGACGGCCTCACTCATACTTCCAGACCTCCATTTCCAAAACAGGAGAAGCAACGGCACGCTACAACTAACAATCGTCTAGAAAACACCACATAATAGTAGATGCCTGGAACCGACACCCAGATATCGGTGGAAACAGACAGACATCAAACTTAACAACTTGCTTTGAACGGCTGTGCAAGTTATTACTCTGTGTTGTGTTCCGAACGTCGGTATACAGCAGTAGAATAGAATCCAAGAGCTCGAAAATGGCTTCCCGCTGCTTCTTCGCCGCCGACGCCGTGTCCGGTCTCCGAAAAAAAGACACGGCCATCAAGGCTTCGCCGCACGGTTCCAGTGCAGTGACTCCCCCCCCTCCCCCCCGGTCTCTCGCGGGCCAAGGCAACCCGATCGGCGGGGGCGCTGTCTGACCCGCAGGACTCCCTATTTAGCGAACATGCCGTGTTCCCGCAATGTTCGGACATTGCGCACAGGCTAAGAGAGAAAACACAACATTTACATTGTCATTGTACAACAATACCTTATTCCCCGCTTCACGCGTCCTCGGCATGTTCCGTTCCCTCTTGCCCCCGCATTCTATGCCTACGACACGCCCCACCAACGCTGAGAACACGTGAACACGACGGCACCAGTTCCGCTTGCGAATTCAAGAGGCAACGAACGCTCTTCTGGGGCACCAGAGTACCTGCCGACAACGGCGAGGCATCTGAACCAGTCCGCAAACGCGTGTAGACAACACTCTCCGCCTTTGTTCTATTGCAAAGGAGTACTCTCCCTCTTACCCCCCCCACCAACCCGCTGGTATTGTTGTTGGCAGCTGTTTGCGTCGCAAGGATCGCACGAACACCCCCCCCCCCCCCCCCCCCCCCCCCCCCCCCCCCCCNCCCCCCCCCCCCCCTGCAGGATGCAGCTCTAGCTATCCATGCGACTCGACGAACACCTCACGACGCTTCGCGCTTGGTGACGTGAGAGCCTGGTCCGGTGAGAACCCAGCGTGCTCCATCCCGGGCAGTGTACAGTAGGGATGCGATGTCAATGCTCCAAAGACTACGGCATGCACGGCCATGAGCACCCCCCCCCTTGAACTCGACTTGTATCTAGCTAGCTGTACGCCGTCCATTCCCACTGGTTCACGAGCCCCATGCTTCTGGGAGCGGTTGGCCTAGGAGCTCCTCGAGGGCTTCGTTGTGGGGCTCAAAGAACTTCCGCAGCCCCTCCTCCACCTCGTCCGTTACCTGAACAATGTCCACGAGTGCGCGCGTGTGGTGGGAGTTGTCGTTTGGATGCTGTTTACCTTTCGTTATCTAGCCGGTTGACCACCCATGCATCCATCATGTCATTTTTTGAGACACAGCACCGATCATACTACTGATGACGACACCTCCCTACACATGGATGTCCTTCGCACGGTTTCACCGTCTACGCAGGCGTTGGGGAAGGGGGGAGGGGGGGGACGAGGATTGCGCTCCCGGCAGGAATTGATGGGCTTCACTGCTACACGGGGATCACACACCGAGAGAAAAAACGACCGGGAGGACAACAGCTAGGGAGCAGGCGAGCAAAGCGCGTGGACACCTTCTCGCAAAAGCGTGCACCGCAAGAGAAAGACGCATGGCCTGACAGCGCACAAGAGCCGTACCGTCCGCGCCCCCGAACGAATAGTGCTCAACAAGCATGATATCCTTGAGAACAAATGCGGGAGATGGTAAGTACAGCGAATTCGACGTCCAGTCGATCCCGCCTTCAAAGACACCCAGGTGTCCTTCAGTGTCCTTAAGGCCGGTACCCCCCCCTCTATTGTGAATATCTGTGGATAACGCTGCTTATTAAATTTGTTTCTCCGAAAAGCGAGGGGGTGTCTCAAAATGAGTGTCCTTAAAGCGGGGGCGACTTTATGCATAAGCATGGACACAACAGCGCGCGACATACACAACGTTAACGTTCACACATGCCGGAGATACGCACACACACTCGCTGGGACGGACACGAGTACTGAAAAGGAATTACCTGGGCACCCAGCTCGTCCTTCTTCTTAGACTTGGTCTTGTTGTACGCCATTCCAGTGATCTTTTTCCACCTCTTCATGTCCGGCAATCCCTGCAGAATGCACCAACAAAACAAAAGAGCAAGTTGACATTTCACACAGCAGGTCTCGTCCACGCGTGGACGACGATTGTGTAGTTCATGGTTGTATATGTGGGATGGGTGTGATCCGTTGCCTTGCAAGCACCTGCTGAAGCCGCAAAGGTCGAAGGGAACTTCTTCTGGTTCATACCACGTCCGCCTATTACCGGTCTGCTTCGTCCATACTTCAACCAAGGTATTCATCAGTGGGGAACTTCGAGACTGTGTAAATTCTGTCGCACAATGCTGCCGGCTACACCAGGCGTTGAACGAGACCTCTTCGCCGCCTCATCGTTGCATATGCTGCTGCTGCTCTCGTTGTTGCCGTACAGCACAGGTCCCTGTTCAATGCCGGTATGTGCCCTGAAAACTCACCGGCACTTACCGGACCCGCAACATAAACACACCCAAGTTGTTTTCTCTTTCTCTTTTTCGATGGTGAATTCTGTTTACCATAATTAAATATATGGGGGTGTTTACTGAAATAAATTATTGTTCAGGTTTGGGGATTATTACGTTTGGGGAGCACATGTTCAAAAGTATTGAGAATGACTTGGAAAATCAGTGTGTGCCCGCTGAAAACACTGTGTGGCACTATACCGGGCACCGGCACTAAACAGGGACCTCTACTGCACGTGCTTGGCGGACTTTTACCTTGGACTCATCCTCGCTCGTGAGCTCCAGCCCCAGGAAGTGTAGCACGTCCTCGAGAACTCCCACGGGGTCGACAGCCATGTCATCCGTGAACACAACCTGCAGGCAGCAAACAACGACAGCGACGACGAGGATGGGGATATGAGGGTGGGGATGACGACGACACAGAAGCAACGTCTACCGGGCAGCAGAGGTACAACAACAACAACAACAACAACAACAAGCGTCATCGTGTTGTTGCGAAAACATTCATCCCCGCTTCCGGCCTGGCACCCACAAACGCTCACTCACTCGTGGCCCTTGCCACCACGCCAAGACACGAAAACCCGTGTCCCGTCGCAACAGGAAAAGCAAGCAGCCGACCAGGGTACCATTGTAAGTTACTACTCTGACCGGCAAAGAAAAAAACGACAACTCCGTCGCCACTCCCCACCCACCCGTTGCCCACCACACGAACCTACGCAGCTTAAGAGCCCTACAGGTCACAGCAAAATCAGAAGACTTCGCAGGTTTTTCTATTCGGTGAACATGTGGAACAAAACATGCAATCCGGGAAGTTGAGGTAGGGTTAGGGTTAGGGTCTGCGTACCCCCTCCCTGCCTGGTCTAATTTCCTCACACATTCATTTTCTCACGAAAGCGGCCCAAAAAAATCACACAGACACCCCACACACACGCACGAAGCCCCCTGACCTTAAAGTTCTCTCGGCCGAAGAGGTCAAACCACCGCTCTAGCTGCAAGGCGTACATGCTCTTGCCGACATGCGAAACGTACAGAGGGACCTCCAAAAAGTTGCGGGGGTTGCAGCTGTTCGGATAAGGATGGGACACAAAGAAACGGCGGTCGGAAGAGTGCGCGCAGGTGGGGCGGGGGCTCAGTTTCAATAAGACAGAGCGAAGGGAGAGGGGGGGGCGCTTCGGCTTCCCGAGACCTTGACTATTCATCTTACTTTGTATGGAACAGAGGCTATCTTGCGTGGTAGAGAACACACGGCACAATCCTGTTATAAGGGCAAAGAACCGACAAACGAGTAGACATCTTCCGTTGCATACCTTTACAAAGTTGCTCCGAGCGAAGACCATCATCTTAAGATTGATCGAGCATCATCCGTGCAATGCCCGCTGCAAGAATGACACTGCGCACTTTTCGGCACAAGCCTCCAGACTGCTGCTACGAAACGGGAGGCTAGGTCCCGCAACAAGTCCGCACGCCAAAACGCCACAAGAGACTCACAGCTTCAAGTCGCGATCCCGGGGGCTGACAGCCTTGGACTTGGCGAGGGCTAGGCAGGCGTGAAGCTTCATCGCGCGTCGCCCCCCTTCCTCAATTGTCTTGGCCAGAGATCGCGACTCCTCTCGGCCTGGTGTTGACGGCAGCGAGATGGCAGACGCGGCGAACACATGAACGTTGACATGCCTTTGAAACAATCACGCCTCAACACCAAATAACACCTTAAGTTGGGGGTCGGCGAAAACGTCATTTGTTGCCGTGTTTGCGTGGTGAGCTGCTCAGCTATTGCTATCGTCGTCGGCGGCGGCAACGCTTAGACGCCATGCGAATCGCTACCTCAACCACCATGAACAAAAATCATCGCCGCCATGCCCATTGGCCAGTACCGCGAAGGATTACAACGCAATCCAAGCTTCTTCTTGGAAATCGAATTACCCCGACGGCGGGATAATACGCATACAAGCACCCGACCGGCAGCAGTGCAGAGCATTTAACAACCGCACTTCACCCGGGTATGTATTCGCGTCGTCCCAACTTATGAACAGGCTCTCCTTTTTTGCAAGTTTGTGTGGTTTACGGTCAAATCATGACAAAAAAAAAAAGAGCGCAATACACGCACATACCCGGCTATTGACAACAACCAGTCACAGTGTTGAGACTCACGTCCTTTCTTCGGGTTGTATTCGTTCTTGAACTCCCAGGAGCTGATGGCCCGGCCCACCGGCTCCCTAAGCGTCACGATAAACTTCAGCCCGGACTCTCTGCCCCCGTAGATGTCCGCGATACGGTGGGGGGCCTCCGCCACCGCGATATAATGAGGCGTGTCTGCCGTTTCGAGAAGAAGAAGAAGAAAAGCGGCATAATTAAGAGGCCTTTGCTGCGGTGCGGTGTTAGCATGACGAATATAGTCCGCGGACATTGCGGGAGGGCAAAAGGTGTACGAGGTGGCACGCACCTGTAGAGGGTGTCGAGAACGAGCAATAAACAAATGCGGCGCAACTGAAATGCGGCGCAATTGAGGTGCCTTGGCTGCGGATGAAGGGTCGTGCGGCGTTGACATGACGAAGCTAGTTTGCCGTTGTTGCGGAAGGTCATTATGGCGTACGAGGTGGCACGCACTTGTGGGATGTCGAGTATATTCAGCGCTGAGATCAGGTGGTTCGGATGGACACGGCCGGCATCCCTCGCGATGCGTGTAGTATGGCATTCCATGTAGCGAGGGCTTGGGGCATGGGACTACGATGGAGTCCGAGACCTTGCGCCAAAGCATGCACGAAAAAAAAAAAAGCAAGGCAACACTCCGCGCAACGCCCGCACCCGCAAGTGTGGTAGAAAAGAAACCGTGGACTTACTTCATTACTTCATTTTTTTTTTTTTCTCCGATCATTGGATTCTGTCGTCTGCCCCTCTGGCCCCATCCTCCATTTCTACTAGCTAGACGACCCAACCGGGGTTACATTTGCATATATTAGACGCTGAAAACAACTTTGCTCTCGTCAAACAAAACACAAATAGTCATGACATCGAGGGTAGATAGACCAAAGCCCGGTGCTAGCACGCGTTCGAGAAGACAAAATGAACTAATTCGGATGAAAATACGGTACTCGTAGTACGCGATTAGTACAGCACGCAATACACGACACAAGAGAGATGATTGGGTACACGGACGGGGTGCTTCGCTTCAGCGGGAAGGGATTCGAAAACCACGACCCCTTCGCATGAACCTGTGGGGCACTCACAGTCGATGACAACGTCTTCCGCGTCCGACTTGGGCGTCGTGATGAACAATTTTTCGTGATGCATTCCCTGATAACGGTGGAGGGGGGGGGAGGGTATGGAAAGTACATCACGGGGGTTTCATGAGTCGGTTGTTGTCGTGATCATGTGGGATTGTCGACCACAGGTTTCAGAAACAAATCAGAGGCAACAACAGGACCGCGGAGCCGTCCTCCCGAATAAAGAACAAAAGAAAGGGGAAACCACTTCTTTTTCACCCGCATGTGCGTGTATGAGATGCCAGCCGATGGTAGTTTACTCACGATTGATGCCGTGGTATGCAAAACAAAAGAAAAAGGACTCGAAGACAAAGCACGGAGGACACGCGTTGCTTGCTGCAGCAACTCCTGCAAATGTGTCCACCCCCCTACGCGTGTGGGTGGGTGGGCGCCGACCCACCCCGAGCCAAAAAAGTCAATCGATTAGATCTCGATCCCAGTCGAGACAAGTGTTGTTGACACTGTACATGCCACGCAGACAGCAGCGTGGTGTGTTGTTTTTTTGTATTTCGTCTTCCTCTCTTTGTTCGCGCGCTGCCGTTATAACTATCACTGTTACAATTTACTGATATAAATCATCAGTGTACATACTTAAATAGACTCGAAATAAGTCCAGTACCCAGCCGGTTTTCCTCCGCTCACTGAAAAGACTCCACCACATCCCGTTCGAATGTGGGTATAACTCGAACGGGTAGTTTCTCTGTGTGTATTTATTTTCCCTAATAATTTACTTGTATGTTTGTAATGTTCGTTGTGATTGTTGTTCATTCTTTTCTTTCACACCTCCTCGAACGCCTGGTCGCCCTTGGGAGGATCGTCGAACACGTGCGCCTCCTTCACCCCGGTCTCCTCGATCTGGTGCGGCCTGCGGGGGTTGGCCACCCAGTGCGTGGCGGGGTGGTAGTCCAGCCATCTCGCGAGAGACGTCGTCCCTGGAGAAGAAGCCAGGCAGGCAGGTTAGAGACGACGTTCGGTGGTGTAAGGGGTTTGAAAGTGAGGGACGGAGGGATAGTATTTTACCGAAGGGTGTGTACGTCATCCGTGAATGGCCCAACCAAGTTACAGACGTCGTGTGGCAGAACAGGGTTATTGAGGTTTTGAAGTGAGGGAGGGTACGTGGGGAAAATTCTTTACCCGAGGCTTCGTGTGAGGGACAGAGAGGCCAACATTTAACCGCATGTTGTTTCCATTGAGAGCTAGCCAGGGTAGAGGTTAGACACGACGTGTGGCAATGTCGGGATGGTGAGGTTTTGAAGTGGAGGGGGGGGGGGCAAGCGGGGGGAAATGTTTGACCTGAGGATTGCGGGAGGGACAGAAGGCCATTCTTCTACTGAAGGTATGCATGTCGTCCCTGAAGGGCCCGTCAGGTCAGAGACGACGCGTTGGTTGTAATTTACGGTTTTTGAAGTGAAGGGGGGTGAAGATCGGAAAACGTTGGAGTTGAGGTTTCGCGTGAGGGACAGAGAGGTCAATATTTCACCGCATGCTTTTCCTATGAAGAACAGCCCGGATACAGACGACGTACGGTATCCTAGGGAGTTTCAGGTTCTGAAATTGAAGGAGGGCAAGCGGGGGAAAGGTTTGATCTGAGGTTTTGCGTGAGGGACAGAGGGCTATCCTTTTACGGAAGGTATACATGTTCTCCCTGAAGAGCGAGACAGGATAGAGACGTTCGGATGTACTGTAGGGTTTGCGAGATTTTGAACTGAGGAAGGGCAAGTGGGAAAATAATTCAACTAAAGGTGTGCGTGGGGAACAGAGGAATAACGTTAGCGACAAACAGGCTAAAATTAAGAAAACAAATACCTACAAAACAGCGACAGCAGTAGTAGAACAAACAGCAGTGATAATCCCGAAAAAAACAAGCAACCTGCAGCCGGGCCTCACGTCGCAAAAACAGCTACAGCAGAGAAGTAGAAGAAACAACACCTGCCACAACCGAAAAAAACAAGCAACCAGTAGCCCGGGCCTCCTCACCGCACTTAGACGTCCCGAAAAAGAACACGGTGGGGTAGCACCGGTGGACTCCCTCCGCCCCCACGAAGCAGCGATTTCTCCCGTCCCTCAACTTTCCCCCTTCCCCTTCCGCTACAACACCCATTGCTCCCCCCCCCGCAGCGCGCCCGGCGGAGAGGTCCTCCGGCACAGCCGAATCTCCTCCCCCCGCCCACCCCCCACCCCACCCCTCCTCCTGCTCCCTCCTCCAACTCTGCTGTCCATCGAACCCTTGTCGGGACTCATGGATGTCTGAGTAGCCTCCGCTGCTGCTGCTGCTGCTGCTGCTGCTGCTGCTGCCGCCGCGGCCTGCTACTCCGGCGGCGGCGAGTTCTACTCTACGGGCGACGCCCGACGCCGATGCTGCTGCTGGTGCGGGCTTTTCTCTGCCGAGGTCGGCGACGGTGCCGCCGCTGTCAAGGTCATCTGGTAGTGTCACAGGCATCGGCGGCAGCGGCGTGGCGGGATCCGCGGGTCCGGTCAGGATGATCGGCAGGAAGGCCAGCGCCAAGATTAGAGAGACCGCCCCGGCCACCATCGCGCCAGATCGTTGTCTCTTGCGACTGCCCCCCGCCCGCCGAGAAGCAAGCCGTTTGGTGGTAAGGGTGTGTTGCCGCGGTGGGGACAAGGAAAAAAAAAAAGGACACCGTTTGGGAAGGGAAATGGAAATGTGAGCGGCGTTAGTGGGGTGGGGGGGGGCGAGGGTCCCCGAAGTCGAGGAGCAAGCCGTTCGTGTTTTGGTGGTAAGGGTGTTGCCGTTGAAGAGCCGCGGTGGGGACAAGAGCAAAAAATGACAACGTTGGGAAGGGAGAGGCAAGCGGCGTTGCTGGGGGGGGGAGAGGGGAGAGGAGGTTGGGAACAAGACGAATCCGGCATGTCCGTCTTGACACCTGGCAAGCGGACCACAACGCCACCGGTCTCAAGGATTTTTCGCGTGCGTGATCTCACCACCTATCGCCAAAACCAATCGCCGATGGCCCACCAAACCCAACAAACAAGGCCGCCGCCGCCCTGGCTGCCCGTAAACACCTCCAAACACACCAACGCCATCTGCGACATCTACGACAGCAAAAGGAGGTCCAGGGACAGGACTTCCTCGCCACGCGCGACTGCACTGCAGCGCCGCGCAGACGCGAACGTCTTCGGCCGGGCCGATAGAACAACGAAGAAGAGCCATCTCGAGCTCGCAAGGACCCACGCGTAACCGTTCGGGCAGAGCAACATGGGGAGACCTCAGGATGGAGGATGCATCCACACAACAGCGGGGGAAACACCTTCGGTCTGACCGGCCGGACAGGTATGAACAAAGTACTTGTGCTACGTAGGCCACCATCGCTGCACCCTTTCCCTCGACGTCGATTTCCTTCACTTGCGAGCAGTTCCGGATTCTCGGGTAGGCATCCCGTGAAAACGAAAGTGGAGTTTTTTTGACAAAGTTGCCAAAAGGTGTGCGTTGAGCTGGCAGCTAAATCGCTGGCTGGTTCACCCCCCTAGGACTTGGAAGGCTCTCCGCACGGTAGGGTGGGAGATCTGGCTCATCTTCGGCTGTTGCCGGTGGTGTCTGCTGACTTCCTACAAACTACCGCGCAAAGCAGCGGCGGTAGAAAGACCACAAAGCATAGCACCGCACTTCTTCCCGGATGGCGACAAGACAGCAACTGACCGGGCGAGACGGCTGCGGACATGTCGCGCCGTGCAGTGTAGTGTGTGTGTGGGGAGGGGGGCTCAAAGCAGGTTATGGCAGTTACGTTCAATTGGACGAACAATCGAACACGTGCTTCTTTCGTGCCAACGTTCACGACGCAACGAACGGCAAAACAAACTCTGCCGGTCATCAAACGCACACAGCTTAGTTTTCGCACCAGCCGCAATCCTAGCAACAGCGAACGTGCACTGCTTGAAAGGTAGCCATTTGCATGCAACCAGCAGGCATCTTGGAAATCGCTTCGCCACGCGTAGGGGCGTGAGTCGCCGAACACCGCCGTGCCAGGTTACTGCGGTTGTGTTGCATCTGACAAGCGTAAAAATCTACCTTGTTCGGACACCCGACTGCTGTGTCGTGCCGAATGCAGTCCTGCTGCTGGAGTCGAGCACGCCGGTCATGCGTGTCGGCACATGCAAGCAAATGTTTTGAAGCAAACAACACACAGAGCAGCAGTGGCCCAGCTCGCATCCAATGCAAGCGGTGTATCTATGATGGTGGTACTACCTTGAGCGCGAGCTGCCGCCGACGTTCAGGTGTTTTGTGGTGTCGGATTGTTTGGGGATCGAGTATGCTACGAGTAGAAGCAGACGGGCGGGGTGATTTCAAGCGGTCTTCGTTGACGAACACACACAGCGTCCACAACCGTCAATATCTCTCCATTCATCCTCGCCAAAGTGTCCCTGTCTCTGTCTCTCTTTCTGTGTGTCTTGTCTCCAAGAACATGGCGCAACTATTCCAGGATAAGATTTGCCACAATTTCGTCGAACATCGATCGGTGAGGGAGACAAAGCGGGGCCACGGGGTACAGTGGGTGCCGGCATCGACTAAGCCCCAGCTCCTCGAGTGAAGGCTGGTGCTGTGCATCACACACAACGGCAGCACGTTCTCTTATCTTCGACCTACGAAAGGCATGGACGACACCCCTCTTTAGCGTGTGTTCCTCAGGCCGTCCCCTTTGTACTCTCAGGAAGAACGTCCATTGTAACCCACCGACATGTCCGTTCAAAAAAGAGACAAACTCTTCTGCCGCACACCTGTCTTTGGAACCACGCGCGCTCTTGAATGAACCTAATCGATTGCCAGCCATCTCCTCTCCAGGCCCAGCATCACCGACTCCCCTTCTCCACGAGAGCTCTCTTCCTGCTCCTGCCCTGCCTGCTGGTCTGACTGGTGTGAGAGATGGATTACCGCCCACCTATATGGGGTACGAACATATTAATGAGGCCATAACGTCATACCCAATAGCCGCCCGCAGACAGACCCTGAAACGACTCATTTTCCGTCGTGCCCCCTTGCCCCCTCTGCGGTGCCCCCCAAATGAGCGGCCCAACGCACCCACCCCACACCGCCGACCACATCGCCTCAGGAGAGCTACTGCTCTGTCCACACGCACGTCGACCGAGGCTATGATCTCGTGCGTGCTACCGTTCGAGTATCCAAAGGTGAGGGCCATATTTTTTTCCCTCCTAACGCGGGAGCAGGAAGTGTGCGAGGCAGGCGATTGCGCGGCAGGAAGAACAACAGCGCGTTGCGTCTTGCGTGCGGGGAATTCGAGTCATGAAACAGAAACACTCATTTCGATTGATATTTTTCTTCGTCCTGCTCCCTTGTGGGCGATGCCCCTGGCCGCGATCTGTTCGCGGAGACCAACAACAACCTGATATGACGCATGAGGTCGGTGCCCACGCGGCAATGAATTAGCCCGTGCACTCTCCTTGCCGCAGAAGAAAGTACCACGCCTTTCGCATATGCTCTTGTGGAAGATACGACCCAACACCGCTGCTGGGTTTGTCCGAAATATGCAAGCGACAGCACACCCTTCTGCATGCACAGCTAGCGCGACAACTCCGACCCTAATTTGTGGGCGTCGCGCGGGCGGTGGCGCAGTTGGTAGGCGAGTGGGGGAAAGGGCACAGCATCGTGTAGTCCGATGTGCTCCTGACGGTGTCTGTTATCTACCACACGGCGCCGGAGATCATATCCTGCTGGCTCTTTTTTCTTCCGTTCCTTGTCCCCTCGTCCTTGCAGAGTTTGCGCGACAAGTGGATGCATGGCCAGGGCCGCTGCATACAGGGCAACCACACCGATGACACGCACAGGGGTGACCTAGAGTACGCTTTCGACTTCAAGTTGCGGCCGGGCACGAAGGTGATGATGCGTGCACCTACCTGCTGCTTGGAGTGTCGAGGAACACTACTTCTCTACACATGCACCGCCTTCTGCGTCTGTTGCGTCTGCGTACCACGGGTTGGTGATTCCGCTTTGCTGCGGAGAGATTCGATTGTCATCCGTCCACCCTTCCAAAAACGAAATTGGAGATTCGATTGCCATCCATCCAAAACGAACTTACAAGGTGCAGGTGTTACTATGATAGCACACCTCATCCGCATTGCCCACCGACGGTGGTTGTGGTCGGTCCTCCTCGTTTGGAACCATGCATGCATCCATCCATCGACCACTCCCCACGTTGCCGAGCACGCTCTTCTTGCCACGGAGATTCTGCATACCATAGGATCGGATAGGATACGAAGGTGGTGGTGGAACGGGGTGTGCAGCGTGCAATGATTTGGCACGGGCCCTGATCTTGTGCTGATTCTCCGTGGCACGGCGAACCTCGTCCAGCTGCGAGGCATCCATCATGTCCAATATCCTCGCGGTGTTTTGCTCTGTGTCTTTGACTTAGGGGATTGCGGAAGGTGAAGCTTGTTCGTTGCTGTGCACGAGGATCGCAAAGCCGGCCAGATGGTTCTATATATCCGGTGAACGTGCCAAACACCTGAGGTTAAACAAAGTTCCTACACCTGAGGGAGGGGCTCGTCCTGTGTCACGTGCTTTGCGTCGGTTTTTACCCCCGCGGTGCTGCGCACGGCCCATGTGGTGGCCCTCTACCCAACACCCTGTGTCGGGCTTGTGCTGAAAACCAAGGCTTCACCCTTCACCGTGCCCTTGGTTCTATGATGCCACGTCCGCTTGAAACCGCGCCGTGCAGACTCCCTTCCCCACCCCTCTCAACAAGGTTTACAGGCTGCTGCTTGAACTGGTTCCCGACCTCCCCCCCCGCCTCAGCTCTATGCTTGCCTGGTTGCCGCGTTGAATTATCGCTAATTTACTCACACCTCTCACAAGGTTAACAGGCAACTGTTACTGGTTCCCGACGTCCACCCCGGCCTTGGCCTCCCTCCCACCTGCTTTTCCGACCCGCGCTCTTGCTCACTACGTACTGTGCATGCAGGTGTTGGCCTCTCGTGCCGGCGTGGTAGCGGCGTACTGCGACCACTTCGGCGAGGGCGGGCTGCGGCAAGGCCTGCGGCCGCGGGCGAATTACGTGGCTCTACGGCACCGGGACGGCACGTACACTCGCTACGTGCACCTCATGCGCGGCGGGGTGTTGGTGCAAGTAGGACAGGTGAACAAACAGATGGCTAGTGCATGTAGTGCCGGCCCGCTCATTAGAAGCACCTATTTTAAGCGAAGCTCAAACCTTATTTCGTCAGCAAAGGCTTGTATATTTTTATGAAGTAGTGTAGCGTCGGCCCCTATGCTCAGTTTCTCAGGGAATTTTTTTTGAAGGTTGTCCAAAATCTGAGCCTCGGTGTCTTGCGAATATTTTTCTTTCGGGCGGGTCCGCACCGTACACGTGCTCGCCTCGAGAGACGACCCATCCGAACATGATTTTTCCCGAGTCTCAACCCCGCCCCCCAACAACCCACTGCAACGTCACACCAAACGTTTTTCTTTCTCCCCATCTCGATCTGAGTATTCATGAGGTCCCATGTCGTATGACCTCACGACCCATTTCCACGTCCAGATAACGAATGGACAACGCACGAACGAACGAACCGCTAATCAAGTTCTTGTGCACCAAAGGCCCATCAAGTCCATCACAGTCACCATCCTCGTATGGTCCGTCGTGGGCTTCCGATCCACTTTGTCACCCTGCACTAAGGTTCACTTTTCTCGCGGTAGGAGGGGTTGTTCCAAATTTCAAGAGCACCGTAAAAAGCCCTGTCTCCAGGCGCAAAGGATTCCTCTCGAAATTCCGCGGATGGATTTTCTTTCGGATCTTTCATAAAAGCTAAATTTCATGAGATATCCATAATTTGCATGCCGCTGTGAGACGACAAGTTCGCACGCGCACACACCACACATACATTCCACAAGCAGCACACAAGCGGCCACACACAAGCGGCCACACACAAGCCCCACACATGGGGCGACCCAAGAAAAACGCGACAAAGAAGAAGCGGAACGAGGATGGAACCATCGCGCGACTTCTCAGACGGCAGCAGCACCACCAGCAGCACCACTCGTTGGTTCTGACCATGAACCAGATGTTTTTCCTGTGGATGTTGTCGAGGATGACAATGCCCGCGACGAGGACTGGCGCAGCGAGGACTCTGGTGGTGCCTCACGCGGAGGCCAGGCCACGCTACGATTTGGATCGGCACTGCTTTCCGCTGCTGGCACCGTCGCGTCCGCAGCAGCTCGCTCCGCAGTAGCGCTCTCTCCCGAGATTGCGCCGCATCCAAATGCGGCGCATCTTCCACATGCGGCGCAGCAGCATCGCACCACCGCGTTTCGCCGCAAACGCGCATCACGCGCTGCCGGGGTACCCAGAATGGCGCGGGCAATATCTGCCTGGCTGAAGGTTGGACCTAGGCAGCAGGAAGAGGAGACTCCTCCGCCTCGAAATAGCAAGGAGGCCTCCAGCGTTTGATCTTGCGCAGAGCGATGAATGCGTGGGAACAGCATGTGTTGTGAAGTCCGTGCCGCTCGTTGGTGGCTTTTATCTGTCCCGTGCATTGGAATTTTCTTCGTTCGTGTTTGTGCTGTCAACCGATTATTGACCGTTGGTGTTGGGTTGCAGTCGCTCCCACCGGTGTGTGCTAGATTGTAGCATATGTATGCAAGTATGCATGTGATCTGAGCAGTTGTGTGTGTAATGTTTGTACAAATGCAATAGGATACGTGTTGTTTGATATGCATACCATATGCAGATGCATACATGCATATGAGTATACACAAAGCAGTTACAATTGGTTCAGAGCGAGGAAGCCCTGGGAGTTTCCGTGGTATAATTAGGGGGTTCCGTGGTACGTTTAGGGGGGTTCGCGGTACGTCCAGGGAGTTTCGTTCTATGATTAGAGGGTTCCGCGGTATGGTTGGGGGTTCCGTGGTGTGATTAGGAGGTACTGTGGTAAGATGAGGGTGTTCCGGGGATCATTTGGCCAAAAATGTTGCATTTTATCACAATTACAACAACTCTGCAGCTATCGACGTAGCTCGACAAGGCGATCACGAATGAATATCGTTGTTTCACGTCCCAACGTTTTTTCTACGAAGGTTATCGCACAAAACGTGAATGGAAAAATTGTCCCGGACGGACCATAGCTATTCGTTAAAGCCGGCGACGGAGCCGATTGAAACCGTCGAAAAATCATCTCAAAGGACCCAAAAACCCGACCCCGAATGTGCCGAGACTCGAAGCGAGCTGGTCGATATATTCTGCGGGCCCCCTTAGGCGTTTTTCATATGCAGAGAAAGGTACGGAATCACGGCCCCGGAAGGAGCATCTGCCACACTTGATCCCGTGCAAGACTGTGTGGGGGCTCCGCAGCGCTTACGTCGACAGGTACCAACGATGATATTGCGATCAGGCGAAAGTGGCGCCAACGCCGTCCCGTTGTTCTTTTCGGTAGGTAATCTGCAGGCGTCTACAATACTGTAGGCCTGAAAAAGAACGACACGGTTAGATACACCCAGCCCAATGCATACTCAGGACGGCAAGAGGAGCCGAGCTTGATTACTCTCTTTTTTTGAGCTGCAGGGAGCAGTGGTGGAAGAGTCACCAAGAGGGGAGGTTAACGTAAGCATCCGGGCCACTACCGTGTATTGCCTCCCGAACATGCTGACCGATTTGCCAGACCAGACCGCTGATGCCGCCGCCGCTCTTGACGGAAGAGAGTATCCAACATAATGCGAAAACACCGATGCATCCATGGATTTGGTGCTAACTGGCGTGGTGCGGATTTACGTCGACGGCGGCGGGTGTGCAAAAACAACGATGCATCCATTGGTTTGGTGCCAACTGGCATGGTACGGATTTACGTCTATGGCGGCGGGTGTACAAAAACAACGATGCATCCATGGATTTGGTGCTAACTGGCGTGGTGCGGGTTTACCTCGATTGCGGCGGGTGTGCAAAAACACCT